TCCAGGACCTGGGGGCAGAGGAATAGGATTGAACAAAGCCATGAAGTTTAGAGCTAATTCATGCGAAGTGACAAGCAGATTAGCAGGCAAGAACCTTGCACTGGCCATATATATCCAATTAACAATCACACATTCATTACAGAACTAAAGGCGATTAACAATTCTCATCCTACGGATCTTACTTATTTTGTATACATATATAAACAAATTGAAAAGGAAGAGGTAACAAGTGATCAAGTATTGCCCTTTTAGTTGGTCGAGTTAGTTGATACACAAATGAGAAAACAGAAGAGAAGAGAGATTCAGATGATGTATATATGTCCATGCATGAAAATTAAAGAAAATGAAGAACATACATTTATACATGCAATAAATTAAAAAAGGGCCCATTATTATTTTTGCTTCTGTCATTCTATAAAGATCTAAAAACTGGAAGAAAAAAAAAAGCAGTGAGAGACGTGGGATTAATTAAGACTATAAGGAAAGAGAAGAAACTATATAAATAAATAAATTAAAATTAGATGGGAATAGTGTGGTTACATATTGCATATGCATGCAGGTGCAGTGAGAATATATAGTTATAGAAAACAAGGATGGATCAATCAATCAATCAGTGTTTCTGGCGCAATGTGTAATGACGGTGCAACCACGTCGATAAGGGTTGGCCCTCCCGCGTTTGTTGCAATTATAGTAAGAATTTCCACGTCGGTTGCAGGGAATATTATCCTTCTTAAGAGCATCGTAACTTATATACCTCACAGTCCTGAGGTTCCTGGATCTGCTCTTACCAGTAGATCTCATCATTAAAGACATTCCTTTGATCTTGTCGGAACACTGATCTCCTTGCAATCCATTGTTGTTATTATTGTTGTTGTTGCACACTTGATCCTTCTGAAACATGTTGTTGTATGGTTTTGATTTGGACATCGAACCCAAAACCATGGCTAACAAAATTATGATCACAAGACCATGCTTCATCTTGATGATCCGATGGATGGATGGAGGGGTGGGTGGGTGGATGGATGAATTCTACTGATTGATGATGATCAGGGAGATCGATGGGGAGGAAGAAGATAAAATATGCAGGAGGGGAGAGTTTTTAGTGATACCATAATAATAGCAAAAGGTTGAGGGCCAGTTGTTGGGTTTTCTATACTGTTTTTTGTTTGTGGTTGGCAGAAGCAACAAGTGTTTGGTATTACCCTTCATATATTTGAATTTTGGATTTTATTAGCTAAGAAATAGTGATTCTGTTTTATGAATGGCAATGCATGAACTAGCGCTTGTGATCCGCGAGATCCGTTTCTATTTGTCCGGGCTTTTCTTGTTAATGTGAAGCTATATATAGATGCCATGGTTGTTTTTCGTATCGCACAATCTTTTAGAAAACGGGCGTTGAGGGTAAAGACCTATTTATGTTGCATCAATATAATTTGAGGTAATTGTAATAGTCATTATTACTCACTGGACCTTTTGGCCCAAAAACAATATTACTTAGTAGACCTCACAATTCATCACTCCCTCCAAGAGATAACTCATTGTTTATTGTGATAATACAAGGTCAGGGATCTATAAATACTTTTATAAGTATTATATGAGCATGGAGTCATACTTTCATCTTGAGTTCTGAGATTCAATTCACTTAAACTTTTTGTTATTAAAAAAAAAAAGAGATAACTCATTATTAATTAAGGATAAATGTTTTCAACAATTTAAATTAAGTGAATGTCGGTGAAAATATTATCGACGTGGAAAAAAGAAGATACGCATGTTTCAACTTTCAATATAATTGATGAAATAAACATCCAGTATAGTCGGATAGTAAGAATATAAGTTTTGTCTCTTTTTTTTTTTTTGTTGAATTAAGTTTTGTCTCTTTACACGCACACACATATAAGTTTTGGATGAGTTAGTGAGATTTAATTTTTTTTTATTTGAAAAAAATATGAATAGAATCACAAGGGTATACATAGATGTTAATCTGTTATCGACAAGAATTTTATTAATTAATTGCTAATTATTAGCGATATGCTTGGGGCGATTAATTTTTTAATTTGTGGTACAGGAGCCATAACCATAAACCATCGAAGTAAGATAATGCTCTTAACACAAATGGCGGGGTAAGTATACAAAAAGAATCGAAATTGTTTTTGGGGGGGGGGGGGGGGACAAAAGTATCGAAATTCTCTAGATTAAAATCATACTTCCCTAATTAATGAAAGCTTGCTCTATGCTCGCCGTTGATCGAGCAAATAGATACACATACACTGAAATACCAGGAAATCAATTCCAGACACCCAGCCAAACACAAAAGAAGTCACTTCTGTTTCAACGTCCATATAACAATTAAAGCAGCCCACCAATGCTCCCAAAGATCAAGCTTATCCCAAGGCTAACCCCCGAAGCCAATCCCACCACCGGACCAGCAAGCCTCAAACCTGGGCCGGAACTAGCCGATGGCGATGAAGTTGGTGTCTTGGCTGCCGGAGATGGTGCCACAACCGGAGCCGGCGCCGGCGCCGGGGTAGGAGGTGACTGGTGATGAGGCTTGCCTCTCGCAGCCATAACGACGACGATCAGTTTTTGACCCTTCTGGCAATGCTCAGATTTGCCACTGATGAAGTAGAAGGGACCGGACCTATTAAGAATGAAAGATGAATCGCCATCCTCCATCTTCTGCAAGGGATTTTTGGTGTTGCACGAATCGTAATCCTCCTTTTTCACCACCAAAACCGAATCAGACCCTTTCTGGTACTTAAAACCTACATCCACCAGAAACAACAATCAATGATACTAATGGAGAAAAATCACACTACACATTGTGAAATCTATATAAATATGGAGAAACAAAAATGTACTGGACTTACGGAGAGTGTCATTCACTTGAAACCTCATTCTTTGAGCCCAGTGATGGTAGTCTTCTGAAGGCTTCGTTACCCAACCATCTTTGCCACCAACGTAAAACTCTCGTGCTTGAGATAATGACGTGAAAAGAAGCCATGTGAACATGAAAAAGATCAAAAAGCCTGGAAACCTGCAGCCAGATTCAGACCCCATTTCGCAGAGAAGTTAATTCCGAGCTGATCTTTTGAGAGAGAGAATTGATGATGAAGGTGGGTGTGGATTGATCCGAGTGTGATACGCTCATAGCATATATAACGGAGATTGAAGAAAGAGAGAGGGAAGTGACCGTTGCGGAGTAAAACGTGAAATATGCTGTGGAGGGTTGGCATACAAAGCTGAGGGAGGGAGCGTTTTGTTTGTGATTTCTATGCTCTAAACCAGAGTACGTTACTTCCACTTGGCGACATGCAAGAGACTCAACGGTAACACTGTTACCCACCAACCTGGATCCCCTTGAAATTTGTTATATATATATTTTTTCAAGTGATTGAGAATTTAATTTAATTTAATTTTTTTTGCCAGAGAGACTGAGAATTCGATTGAAAAGGGAGTGAATGGTTTTTTTTGTTGAAAGAATATGTGTATGTTTTTATCTGGGGAAAATTATTCCAAAGGTCCTTAGCATTGAATTGAGTGGAAGATATCAAGGAAATTAACATCTATTAATAAATAAGCAAGATTAATGAAAATTTAAACTTTTGAAAGAAAATATACCTTTATTAATTCATTAATAGTTTAAATTGAGGGTCTTCATTAATCAGAAAACTCTTTGGCGGTTAATGAGTTGGCAATTTGCAATATCTCCTCCAAATTTTGGGAGGAAAAAAAAACAAGTCCCTTGCTTCTAGAAAATAAATTAAGAACTTGTGTAGTGCAAAACTGAAATTTGCAAAAAAATAACGTTTGTAAATTGAGGTTAGGATAAAAGTGAATTAATATAACATGATTTATAGTAAAATAACTTTTTATAAAAAAAATTATGTTTAACCAAAATTTTTTGGGATAATATAATTAAAAAACATATTTAAATGTATAATGCCGGAAAATGACGGTCATTTTATTATATATATTATATTTATATAATTTGATAATTTTAGAAAATTATTATAGTTTTAATTATAATTGCAATATATTATTTAAAAAAATTTAGAATGTAAAATTGTACATTTAACCTTTAAATATAACGTTTAGTATATAGTATTAATATTCCGCTAAAAAAAAGCAATATCCTCTTGTACTTAATATGAAAGCTTATTTGATTTTTACTTTTTTTTTTATGGGAATTTGATTTTTACTTTAGTCTTAAATAAAATCCTAATCCACTTTATTTCTCATATTTATTCATTTTGAAGATAATTCTTGTAATAATGGTAGTTCTAACCAATATACTTGATAAGAATGGATATTTTAGAAAAGACAATACCTATTTATTACAAACAACTGAGTTAATAAATTTTTTTAATCTATTTGAATTACTCTTCCGGTCATTAATATAGGAGCCGATTGTTGAGTTGGTTTTGATCCTAATATAAGACCCATTTCTCATATTTATTAATTTTCTCTAAAGTACCCCTATAGATACTCCCTCAACCATAATCAAGTAAAGGGAGAGATAAGGTATTAAAAAAGATGATTATGGTGTTTTAGAAAAAATGTGTCACATTTCTTATAATTAATATAACGTTTAGTATATAGTATTGATATTCAGCTAAAAAAAAAAAAAGCAACACCCTCCGGTCCTTAATGTAAGAGCTTATTTGATTTTTATTTTGGTTTTAAATATAAAATCCTAATCCACTTTATTTCTCATATTTATTCATTTTTAAGATAATTCTTGTAATAATAGTAGTTCTAACCAATATACTTGATTAGCATAGATATTTTAAAAAAGACAACACCTATTTATTATAAATAAATAAATTAATAAATTTTTTTAATCTATTTGAATTAGTTAACCCACTCTTGTATTGAAGATGGGAGGAAGTAGTCTATAGTATTATTAATATTAAAAACAGTAAAATTCTAAAATGTATTGCCGGCCAAAAAAATAAAATAAATCTAAAACGTATTAGATCAAGCGCGCTTTCAGGAGCGAAGCCGTTTCCAGAAAGGCTCTCCTCTCCCATGTCACTGCGCGCTTTCAAGGAGACTCTCAAGCCGTGCACAAGCCAACCGTCTTCTCCATCGGTTAGCCAAGCGCAATCTTCGATTTTCCGAGATTCCGACTTCCCAATCCCGAGGAAACCCCCAAAGTCCTCTCTCACCCAGCAGCTTCGTCGCCTGCAAGACCCACTTGCTCCTCCCCTAATTCAGCCTCACAATTCACCTAAGCGAGAAAGGAACAGAAAGTAGTGACGTCGTGGATGATGATGATGAGGAGGAGGAGGAGGAGGAGGAGGAGGAGGAGCCAGAATTGAAGAGGGAAAAATTCGGTAGAGCTAAATTGTGTCAGTTTCAGTTCGATCATACTGGACCCTTTGAGCCTCTGGTATTGTCTTCGGATGGAGAAGTTCCAGTGGTACAGGTGGCTCCATGTTTTTGAAGCTTAATGTTTTTCATGAACGCAAATGTTTTTTCGATGGAGTTTACTTTATACAGAGGTTTCAGTCCAGTTACTATGCTTGAAACAGTTGAATAACTGTTTGGGAAGAAAAAGACTTTGGTTGCATCCTTGGCTGAATCTAGCAATTGGCTTGAACTTTAGTCAAACTTAATGGTTATTCGTGGTAAACAGGTCGATAAATTGGTTTAAGTAGGTCGTTTAAGTAGTTTTGGCAGAAAATGTGTCATCATTTCTTCCTATTTTTTTGTGTATTGAATAAATAAAATCATATTCTCCTGGAACTAGTTCAAGAAATTATCATAACACCCTCGAGCTGTTTTCTTTAAGAAAAGAAAAAGGACTCTTACGCACCCACATCAGAGATGTAGTTTCTGTGCATGGGTGTAATTTAGCAATTTACAGTTCAGGAATGCGGACATACCTAAAAAACAGGCTTTACTTGCCCCCCCGTCTGTGGCATTGTCAGGAGCTTGTTTGTTAATGCTATGATAGATTAAATACTGAGTCATTTGTGAGGAGATTAACGGTTTTCTTAGTTATACCAATGCATTTTACGATTTCAGCAGTGTGCTACACAGTTCTATAGGGAAATAACGGTATAGTTCAAACATTCATGGACATGAGTAACACAGTGGATGCGTTATAAATAGACGTTTACAGCTGTCTCAACATTGATAACTGTTAGACAGCATATGGCGTAAAACCTTTTGCACTGAAGTATTGCAGTTTGAAATATGAAGAAAATTATTCTTAAAGAGTAATTCATTGTTTCAGGTTCCTGCATCTATCAACTGCAGACTGCTTGAACATCAAAGAGCGGGAGTGAAGTTTCTGTATAGTTTGTATAAAAACAATCATGGAGGCATTCTTGGCGATGACATGTGAGTCACATGTTTAATCTTTTTCTCTTCACATATTATACTAACTTAAGCCGTTGCAATCCATTTTAGTGAATCTATCTGTCATATATTGGCATGCTCAGTATTCTTAATCATTTCATTTTCTTATGTAATTGCTGAAACTATCTGTTACAATGTAAATTCTTAGCTTTTACCATGTGTGATATCGATATTGGCTGTCTTTCCTCCCTTTTTTTTGGGGGGGGGGGGGTGTGGGGGAATTTGGTTATTTTTCCTTTTTGTCACAATTTCTTCTGCAATTTCAATTTTTATTGTTGGGATTTTGAAACAGGGGTCTTGGAAAGACCATTCAAACAATAGCATTTCTTGCTGCTGTGTTTGGTAAAGATGGAGAATATATGCCAAAGGAAAATCAAGCAATGAAAAGAGACCCTGTATTAATAATTTGCCCAACTTCTGTTATCCATAACTGGGAGAGTGAGTTCTCTAAATGGGCAAACTTTAGTGTTTCCATTTATCATGGTTCAAACCGAGATCTAATATATGATAAATTGGAAGCACATGGAGTGGAGATACTTATTACCAGTTTTGACACATACAGAATTCATGGTAGCATCTTGTCAGAAATCAAATGGGACATTGTGGTCATTGATGAGGCTCATCGGCTCAAGAATGAGAAATCAAAGCTCTACAGAGCATGTTTAGAAATAAAAACCCAAAGACGTTTTGGTCTTACTGGCACGATCATGCAAAATAAGATCATGGAACTGTTTAATCTCTTTGACTGGGTTGTTCCAGGATCCCTGGGAACACGGGAACATTTTCGAGATTTCTATGATGAACCCCTCAAGCACGGTCAGAGGTCAACTGCTCCGAAGAGGTTTGTTGATATTGCCAACAAGCGAAAACTGCACCTTGTTACAGTTCTTCAGAAATATATGCTAAGAAGGACGAAGGAAGAGACCATTGGGCATCTTATGATGGGAAAGGAAGATAATGTTGTGTTCTGTGCCATGAGTGAATTACAGAAACGGGCATATCGGAGAATGTTACAACTTCCTGACATCCAATGCCTTATTAATAAGGATTTGCCTTGTAGCTGTGGAAGCCCACTCACACAAGTTGAATGTTGCAAGAGGATTGTATCAAATGGAATCATTTGGCCTTACCTCCACAGAGATAACCCTGATGGTTGTGATTCATGTCCCTTTTGCCTTGTCCTTCCTTGCCTTGTCAAGCTCCAACAGGTTGAGTAAGATCTTGAACATTTCTGCACCTCTCTTTTGGTTATAGCATCTCCGCAAGTTGTATATCTTAAAAGATGCTTTATTCATAGCTATGGCTGTCGTGGCTTGCTATTTTTGGTAAATTTTGTCATGATTCAGCTCAACAATTCTAACAGGGAATTGAAAGCAAAGCATTGCCTCAATTATAGAAGATATGCATGCATGATTTGTGAAGATACAATAGATGAAGTAGGATGAGTGACTTGACTCAAAAAGGACATGATATGACTGACTTTGTTTGAAATCTTTTGTCTAACTCATCGATATTCACTTTAGTTGAATGACTTCATTTTGCTATGTGGAGATAGCATCTACTCACTTGAATTTATCGGAGGATTTGATACAAAGGGAACTTTTGGAACCGATGCGTTTGGATGTTATGAGTATGTTAATGATTTGTGACTCAAATTGACTGATTCTATCAGTGCCTTAGATTAGCTAACCCTGTAATTATGCATGGTGCATTTGATTTCTCAACAACTAAAATTTAGATTTCACTTTTCTTTGCAGAATGTTAAGCATTGTTGCCTTTCTGTTTAACTTGGTTTTGCTTTATTTCTTTGAAGAAAGTATACCATCTGTCTCGTGCTAATAAGACGTGCTTTCATTACTTTGATGTTACCTGTTTTGTCTTTATGCCAGATAAGCAATCACCTTGAGCTGATCAAGCCAAACCCCAAAGATGACCCAGAGAAACAAAGAAAAGACGCAGAGTTTGCTGCTGCTGTCTTTGGCCATGATATAGATTTGGTGGGTGGGAACACGCAGAATGAGAATTTTATGGGTCTAAGTGATGTCAAACATTGTGGAAAAATGAGAGCACTTGAAAAACTTTTGTTTTCATGGATCTCTCAGGGTGACAAAATACTTGTGTTTAGCTATTCTGTAAGGTGATACACCTCGAACTTTTTACTTTTTGAGCACCTCCAGTTCTCTAGATTTAGCTTGTATGGTTCATTAGGTCTTATTGATCTTATTTTTTCTTTTTGGCCAATGGTAGACAGTGACTTTTATGTTTTAAGAATATTCTGTTTTTCAAAGTCATTGTTTCAAGGTATGGATAATAGGCCAATTGGCAATGAGACTGAAAACCTTTTATCCACGTTTGGAATGGCTCAAGACTGAGTTTATACATTTTACCATTATCCATAAGCAAACCCCACTTCTCTTCCCATCCCCGCTCAAAATAGTCTCTAGACCCTTCTGCGGATTATGACCTAACTGTAGTTTAAGTAGATATTCCATGGATTGTAGAGATTTTGTCTGATCTTTTGCTTATAAACTGTCCATGAGGGCGTATGTTCTCAGATACTGAACAATACTGGGACTTGCAAAGTGCTATGCCTTCTTTTTCCTGGAACAAATTTTTATTCTTCTGTTGGTATTGTGCTCCTTTTGCACTTTTCAGAATGCTTGACATACTGGAGAAATTTCTTATAAGAAAAGGCTACTGCTTCTCAAGGCTTGATGGATCTACTCCAACTAATTTACGTCAGTCTCTGGTTGATGACTTCAACTCAAGTCCAAGCAAACAAGTGAGCCTCTCAAGATGATACTTCTTCTGGTTTTCTTTTTCGGCCAGGGCCTAAAAATGATACTTGTTTAGGGCCATTCAATTCAATTTGCCATTGGGCTCTTATTTATGATTGTAGGTATTCTTGATATCAACTCGAGCTGGCGGGCTTGGATTGAACCTTGTCAGTGCAAATCGTGTGGTGGTATTTGATCCCAACTGGAATCCCGCTCAAGACTTACAGGCACAGGACAGGTCGTTCCGATTTGGGCAGAAGCGACATGTTGTGGTATTCCGGCTTCTTGCAGCTGGCTCACTTGAAGAGCTTGTTTATTCTCGTCAGATCTACAAGCAGCAACTGTCAAATATTGCTGTCTCTGGAAAAATGGAAAAGCGTTATTTTGAAGGGGTCCAGGTACCAAATCTATGCATTTTGGTTGTGGATATCTATTAATGTATACATAATTAATTCTTGAAAGTGAATAATTACTCGTTAGTATTCATGCAGGACTGCAAGGAATTTCAGGGGGAACTTTTTGGAATTTGCAATTTATTTCGAGATTTATCTGACAAGCTTTTTACAAGCGAAATAGTTCATGTGCATGATAAGGAAGGAAAAGAGCACAAGCGTAGAATAGAGCGAGGAGAAAAACTTGTTCCTTCAGAAGAAGCTGATATATTAGTATCAGGTTCTGGGAGCAGGTTATCAACCAATTATAAGGGGACTTCAACTAGTGAAGCAGATCTGGAAGATCTTGGTAAGTCATTTTACTCTTCGTCTTCAGTGTTGAGGATCCCATACATTGTTAAGTCCCCTCTTTTTTGGAACACGAAACCTGCGTGTTGCCATTCAACAAATAGTTTTTAAGTTGAAACTGATTAAATCATTTTACTCTTCGTCTTCAAAGATACCTTGGGTAAAGTTTTTACTTTTACCGGCACACATCGTAACGGGGAATGGCGTATTAGAAGTAGGGGCATCCTTGGTCCGTAGCAAATTTACACCGATCAACTTCGACCTGCCTTTTTGTTTGCCTTATCATGGCTGGTGTCCAAGAGACTGAGGGCAAGTAGCTGTGTGCTTATAATGTTGGTTTTCATGGTTAGCAAATATCATTTGGTCCTGCGGCTTTGATTTTGAAATGGTGCGTTGAACCTCCTAAGATGCGCATCCTTTTTTCATTTTTCACTTCTATTTTGGGTAAGACATGAAGATGCCCCTTCAATTAACTATGGGACTAATCCTTGTCCGGCTGTGTCTTGGTCCTACTCCGATTTGAAAGTAAGGTCTACCCTCATAGAGCTCAATTTGTCAACTGAACCCCACGTCTTTTTCATTTTGCTTTATTGATTTGGGGAATGACAAAGTGATTTTTCTTTATAATTAACTGATGCTTTGTGTCTTAGGCATTGTCTATGCTCATCGGAATGAAGACATAGTCAACTTCGGTTCCGCCATTCAAGGGAAGACAAAGACCACCATCCATCACAGTGAAAGCCAAAGCATGCCTCTTGTCCAGGGAGAAGAACCAGAGTTTGCAGTTAAAAAACAGAAAGTTCCCATCATCAATGAGAGGAAGAGAGCCCAATTTAGGCTGCTCGCTCGGTCTAGAGGCATGGGAGAGCTTGAATTTAGCATGTGGTTATTATCAGCGACTCCAAGAGAAAGAGAGGAAGTGCTTCAAGAATACAGGACTACAGGAGGAAGGAGATACCTTGAAGCCGAAAGGTACAGTCTTCCTCTTGCCAGTGAAGGCTGAAGGACTACTATACTTATTTGCACATAGGGCACTCGTTGATAGAAAATGAGAACAGTGTGCAGTATAACATATCAGGATGTACAGTCATACTTGTCTTTGCCAAGAATTGCAGTAAGGCTTTCTGCATTTGATTGATTAGTCTTGATGTTATTCTTAGCTGTGTTATAGATCTCCAGACTCGGGCGTAATATAAAGAAAGCGAATACATCAACTACTCTGATTGGGATACCTCACTATAAACATGGGGAGAATACAAAGAAAACAGAAAAATCAACGTGTGTTTCTACTCCCCTCTAGCTTATAAGTTAAACCAAGGACAAAAAAAATCAATATCCCTTTCTCCCTTGTAGAGGCTTACGAGAAATTCTATATATTTTATTACGAAAAAAAAGAAAATTCTATATAGCTAATAAAGTGTCTGTGTTCCCAATTCCACGTGAGCAAATACTAGTAGCAAAATTTGTTGACTCGTAATCATAGTCCAGGAACATCAGCAATTCCTAAACCCCCCCAGTTCACTTTTACCAATGAACATTGATGCTCATTTCCCTCTTGGTTTATCCTACAATAACTCTTTCCCTTTTGATTCTAACAAAGACATCGTTGACCTTGACCGAATATGGACGCCATCACCATTGCCAACTTAAAGAACCTAAACATTTTCCAAATATTGCAGCTACTTTCTCTGCATTTTGAATCTCGAGACTGGTTTCGAAGGTTGTGAACCAGAAACCTGTAAAGGCCATGACTCATGATTATAATGGGATTAATTGTCATTCATAAAAAGCATAAAGAATTATACTCATGTAGAAACACCACACTTAAATTAACAAATCTACGCAGTACCAGTGATGACGTTGAATTTTGTTCTCTTGAAGTTTTCTGTAAATTCTCAGCATGCTCTATGATAGAGCCTGTAAAAGCCTGCAGATAACATATATTTGACGGACTGATAATCTGCTGCGGAATGTGTCATGGGGAGCGAGAGATTGTAAGCATACCTTGCGACTATCAAATGATGGTTCTGAAGTCTGGCGTCCAACCTGTTAAGGAAATAATGGTACATCATGCCAATGATGATTAAGCTACCGAGCATGGTACTATAAACATTTCTGCATCAGTAAATGTACCTGTGATGCAGTTGAATTTTCTATTCTTGAAGTTCCTTGTGTATGGTCAGCATGCCCAACAATGGAGCTTGTAGAGGCCTGCTGACAACGCAGCGTACAAAATTATCAGCCAGTGCTCATTTAGTCATGGTCCTAGTACAGCAAAAAAGAGATAATAGTTGTCAACATACCTTTTGACTATCAAATGATGGGCGTGAAGCTTGGTATTGGACCTGTAAAAGAAATAATTGCACACCAAGTTATAATCTAAAATGGAGTTTTGCAAGGCTGCAATAATTTGCACATAATCTAGAGTTTTGCTCATTTGGGGTCATTTTACATTTTGGTTCGAGGGATGAGAGGCGAAAAAGAAAGAAGTAACTACTGAGAGAAGGCTAAACCAGATGCATCCGCAAAGACCTCAAGAAATTAAGATGACACATCAGGATGAGCATCTCATTGACCTTTTAGCCTCAAATGCCTAGCAGTAGCACCCAACTCTGGCAAGATTAACATAATTATTTTTCTCACTGAGTTTCAGTTATCTGGTCCAAGCCCACAATGCCTGGCTGGCATCACAGTAAGAACAAAATCTGACAGACACTTATCGGATTCCTCATAGTCTTTGGTCTTTGCTCATTATTACTTCAATATTAGGGGTTAAAGCACCTAAACAACTTTACGTTATATGTTAGCGACAAATCATCTGATATTACGTATTACTTACAGTCCTTTTGTCGAGAGATAACCCACTCTACACATTCAAATACCAAATTTTAAGCTCTCAATTCGTTTACTCTGGCATGCACATGATTGAATTCTTAATCGACACCTATATCAACTGTGACCTGATTACACCCTTGAATATTCCAGACCTTTGTTATTGTCATGAGGACATTATGGAATGCAAAACAAATTTTTAAAATGCTATAACTGTTATTTTCTTTTCTTTTTTTTGGGGCTAGCAATAAGCAAAATACTTCTTTTTATGTATTTGTTTTATTTGCACATCAAGCAACAAATAAAAGCAGGCATTATCAGATGTTAGAGGATGACAAACATCATTTATCACCTTGTGAAGGGCGCTCATCAACAAGCGGGGAAGTTTAATGATATTAAGAACCAACCAAGATGCAATATTTAAAAATGTAAAGAAAAATGATAGTGGCATTGCTACATGCATAACAAAAAATAGACTAATTTGCATGTCATTTCCAATTTAAGAAATTATGAATGAAATTCAGAGCACACGAGGGGATGATGCAAGAAGAATTCATCATAAGATCTATATACCTCAGCCTTCGATGAATTTCCTGCTTGAACTGTCTTCCGTTCAGGATATATAGTTGACTTTTCGCTAGCATCAGAGTTTTTCAGATTTTTTGGCATAGTTTTTACCCTCTGAAGATTCTAATACAACAAAAGAAGATGTATAAGAATGAGTGACGAACAATATAGCCATTTTAAGGGACAGAGAACCACAAACACGCATCACAGCAAAATAAGAGAGCACAGAAATCATTGAAGTCTCACCTCCAACTTGAGATTGCAATGCAAGGCTTCCAAACTGCATTTTAAAATTACAATGCAAAATAATGCTGCATTAGCTGGATTAAAGAACTTTAAACCTGAAACTAAAAGAACAAGATGATATCTTACATAATCAGCTATATCATCTTGATACTTATGCTCTTCAGGAAATTTAGTTGTTACATCATTAGTCTGCTTCAGATCCACCGTTCGTTGGATGTCCTATATGAGCAGTGATCAGAATCAGGTGATAAGCTATCATAGTCGAATGTGCTGATAGTCTCTTTTTTTCCCCCCCCCTTTGGCTCTCTTTAGCCAACTAATGTACAAGATTTATAAAATGAAATCCAACAAATTAATCTAGAACATTACTTCTGAATTTGGGAGATTGTCATCAATAGGTCCCTGATATGAGGCCTCATCAAAATCACTCATAGTTCCCTCGTTTTCATCACTGTGATTACCCCTTTCAGCAGCAAGCTCTTGCTCCTCTAGTTCGTCCAACCTGGACATCATGCGAGTAAATTCCTCATCATCAGCTGAAGTTGTTTCTTTCTCAGCACCAGCAAAACCAGAAACATCTTGCTTCAGTGGACCTGAAATAAAACATTGGCATCTTTTTTCAGACTACAATAGAGACAATAATGACAATAATGAGACAGACCTCATTTCTCATGTGTCACATTCAACACAAAATAGAAGACAATAATGACACAGGAACAAAGAAGAAGCATAAAAGGTTGATCAAGCCCTAAACCGCAAAACTAAATAAGACTGAATCTTTCATAAGAGGATTAAGATTCCAATAGAACTTCCATGCTTTCTACCAACTTCATTTTACAGGGAATACCAACTATCATTTTCCCCCATCTTAAATGATGCAAGGCAACGGAAGGCAGGGACAGACCAGATTCAAATTCCTGTTTGACTGAGTTTTCCTCCACGTAATCTTCCCTTATCTCTACAAGACCCTCCTGTGCCATATTCAGCCAACACATCAGTTAATCATCCAATGAAAGTAAGCATCAACACAACAATAAACAGAAATATACCCATCATAATCCAGTGCATCCACAATTCATGGTAAAATTTGGGTACCAATAACAGAAGTCTCACGCACGAACTTAATAAAGCCGTTATCTTTATGATTTCAAGTTTATACAGAAACTGTTCCTCCACTGCACAAAACCTACCGCCGCTTCAGAAGCTGTGGCACTGAAAAATGATGCCTCGGCTCTATGGTCCTTGATAATGGCCTCAAGAGAATTAACCTGGGACTCCAAAGACTTGCCTCTTCGTCTCAAAATCTCAATGGTTTGTTTGGACGTTCCATCCGCATAATAACCTTCTCCTAAAAGAACCTGCAAGGAAAGCACTAGCTACTTTCAACTGAAATTCTCGCCTCAGCGAGCATAGACAAATCAGCAATTCAAAGAAAGGGGCACTAAAATTCAATACCAAAAACTCATTGGTGTGGATCAAACGCCCCGGAAGAATGCTGCTTTCCCAAACGGGACCTGAGAACAATTAGACAGAGGATTCACATCCCAAGTTAAAAATTTCTTTCAGTTACCAGCAGGAAATAAGTACGATAAAGGAGAACCAAAGCTTGGTTATGTGAAAGCACCATTATATCGTGATGGAGCTCTTCGGGAAGCTTCTGAACAAGGTTGATGAGGTTATTGTTGTCCGCCATAAACCCTCGAAGACGGTCAAGCTCCTTCTCCTCTCAGCGATCGCGTCCTGCACGCGCTTCGCAGCGTTCTGAGCCTCCTCTACCGGAAAGAGAGAGGCCAGCGGAGTCACTGTCCCTTTGCCTGCACGGTCCATTTGCACCGCGAACCCTGCTAGCACCAGAGTCTGCTTTCTCCACTTTTTGGTTTTGGCTCCTTTTTCCTTCAATGCGGAGTCTTGCAAGTTCACTTCCCAGGCGGTTGCGCCGGTGCGTCTTCAGCACATGACATCATTTTATCATTTGAAAACTAAATACCCAAATTATTTCAAGAACACAAAAATAAACGCCGGTCAATATGAGTTTCAAGCTGTGCAAAACATCACACAAGAAGTCGAAAAAAGACCCGACTGGACTTAAATATACCAAGCATGTGAAAATATACTTAAATAAGAAATTCAAATCAACAATAATAAATCATATTAATAATATTAAGAAGAAAGACGCAAAAGTATCCCAAATCAAGATCCGAGATGACCTTATCAATATGAAGTTCCTGCGAACGAGCTTTGAATTAAATTTTATAATAAAATTGTCTAAATCATTTAATTTAAATTCTGAGAAATAAAATGACAACAACAATGTAATAAATAACACCAACCCAAACAATAACAATTAATGATATTTTTGTAATTTTACTACAAAATTTAGGCTCATTTAAAATGGTTTATAAATAATTTTTTCAATCTTAATTTACAAAATACTACCTCCGATTTTTAATATAAAAATTTGTTTGACTTTCATTTTGATTCTAAGATCCTATACATTATGTCTCTCATATTTATTTATTTATTTTTAAAGTAATCATTATATTAATAGTAGTTCTAGTCAATATACTTG